CTGTAAAGTCCCTGGAAGCTACTGTGGTCACCTGGGTGCGTTCCGGGGGCAGTTCTGGGTGTGGGCTACCCTTGTCATCCCCCTTCCCCCGGGCCTCACTGAGGGCCTGCATCAATGTACCCCTTACCTGGGATCTCTTAGTCGAGTCCAAGTCCTTCCTCTCTGAGGGGTGGCAGAAGGTCTGTGTAGTCAGTTGTCTCTTACGGGGTCTGCGCTTCTGCCTCTGTGGGGGATGATTTGGGAGGGAAACCCTTTTGGCTCTCTGCTCTCTGGGTATGTGTGGCTTGGGTGTTTGGTGGGTGGTTGTGCCCGACGGGGCATCGTGCACCCCATCTCCTGTTCGCCTCCGTTTGCTCCTCTGTCCCCGAGCTGCTTCTGTCGCACATATCTCCAACCAGGTGCTGTAGCATGCGGCCCATCATGGTACACACCTCCTGCTCGGCCGGCTGCTGCCGCTTGCCGCATGAAGAGGGCGCGTCCGCTATTTTGGGTGGTAGTTTTGCTTCTAGGGTTTGTGCGATACCAGTTGCCTGCAATCAGCAAGGTGAGTGAGGCTGCTTTGTGTGGACCAGGATGACCCCCACCGGTCACTGCTTATGTGCCCAGAGAGCGGCCGTCTCTCTGTGACTCAATCTCATGTAGGCCACAAGCCTCAGTGTGTCAGGCTGGCTGTGCAGGAGCTCGAAAGAGTCACCATTTGATGCAACAGCCTCTCATTGTGAATATTGTGATCTGCGGTCTGTGAGTGTCAATGGCCCGGTATAGCACCCTGTTTTTTGTCCTTAGACGTGGGAACTCATGCTGAACACGTCTGGGGTGCTTGACTGCTTAGAGGAGCATACATACAATTCCAGTATTCTGCATATTAAAGGGAGACATGAAAGCAGCAACCAAGCACATTAAATTCCATTACAAAAATATAGATATCAACCAGACTAGGGCACAGCAGAAAATATTGGTTTTGGTGAATCAAACCGTCCAAAAAGTTAAATTTGTTTGGATGCACTGAGTTTTATTCATGTTACATTTTGATTTGGGTGACTTTCATCCACACAATCAAACCAAAAGGGAACAAAAAATGTAATTTTATATCTTCTGTTTCATTAATATTATATAAAAAAAAACATATAGGTATACAGATATTTCTGATCCAAAAATAATATTAAACGTATACCAAAAGTAATTTTTCATGCCTGGAGGGCACCTTTTTCCATTAAAGCACTGTATTAATAAAGCAATGAAAACCATTTATCATATTATTAAAAATAAAAACATATTTCTCTAATTTGCAGTAGATTCATGATCTTTCATCAATAATTGACTATTTGAACTAATGAAGATTCTTTGACCAATTTTATGGTCTTACTTAATCATTATTGTAATACCAAAAGAATAAGATTTATTGTTCGGATGTGACTTTTGTCGGATGTGCTTTAGTAGTCATTTATTAATTTAATGTCATTTAGAATATGTACTTTAATTTTCCAAAAGATATGTTGTTTCAACATGAAATTTAGTGAGTATATGATAATAATTTCAAGGTCAACACTTTCTTAATAAACTTATACAACTACATTTATATTCAAAGATATAAAAATTATATTTGGAAAAAGAAACTTATTTCAAGGATATCAAAATATGCAGAGTCTACAACATGGGTCGACAACCTTTGGCACTCGACATGTTATGGGCTACATCTCCCATAATTACATAACGCTGGCAAAACATCTGTGTTGTAATTCCCTGTGCAGGTTTAAAATTGCTTGAGGAGGTTGTAGAATCTAATGGGAGACGTAAAAGTGAAAAAAGAGGAAGAGTGTTTTTGAACCCATGTAGAAGGGAAAATTTATACTATGTTTATAGATTTATAGAAAATTTAAAATTCTGTAAAAAAAGAAAAGGGTCGTGGATAGGTAAAAGAGCATTTATGACCCATAGTTTGGACAATAGAAAATAACAAGAATGTTTCATTAACAGAACTCTTTGGTTTTAAAAATATGAGTGCAACATTTAATTGAGCCATGGGATGTTTAGCAAAAACATAAATGTAGAATAAATGCAAAATAAATGTCTGATTTATTTGTTTATATTTTAAAAAGATATTGGGGTATATATTTTTCTAGAAATTAGGTGGAATATATTTTCTTTTCTTGCAATAGTGCAATATATTTTCTGTTTCTTTTCTTGCAAAAGTAAATATAGTCTTAAATATTAGCATTAAAATAAATCCCATGTTTTATCACATACAATCAATGCAACTAAAACAACAGTCAATATTATGATTATGTTGCATAGACTATCTCCTCATTGCACAGGAAGGTCTCTCCCACCTACTCGGAGCTGAGATCACACCGGCCACTTGGTCGGACCATGGATCGGTCGCGATGGAACTGGACTCCCCACTGTACAGACCAAAGGCATGGACCTGGAGACTTAATGAAGCTCTAGTGCTAGACCCGGACACCAAGGAACAAATTCATCAAGCATTATAACAATACTTTAGAGAAAATGACACCCCGGAGACCTCCCCAATATCCGTATGGGAAGCTCATACGCATTGCTTCGTAGAAGCGGAAGGCGTTCATGCTTGAAATTATCAATTTATATCGCTCAATCTCGACCCTAGAGCATCAACATAAAAGTTCCCAGCTAAACGCAGTCTACAGAGAACTAATGGAACACAGAAGAAAACTTAAAGACCTTATTATGAAAAGACATCTCCGATCCGTACAACGCACGAAAGGCTTTTATTATGTACACGCTAATAAAGGAGGTAAATACCTAGCGAGACTACTGAAGGGCCCCTTGCCCCATGGGCAAATACGTATACGTCTGGCGTCGGGGGAGGTCTCTCCCTTCCCGCAGAAGATTGCAGGGGAGTTTAGGACTTTTTACGAGAACCTCTATAATCTGTAAACACCTAATGGGGACACCGAGGCTGCGAGGGACCACGCAAAGATACAGGACTTCCTGTCTGACACGGTCACAAACACGATCGACCAGGACTTGGCATCAATATTGGACACAACAATTACAACGGAAGAACTAGCCGCAGCCCTTAAGACATCCAAAACCGCCAAGGCTCCTGGCTCAGATGGCTTCTCCACGGGGTATTATAAAATCTTCTCGGGAGTATTGCTGCCTTGGCTGACCAAGCACTCAACGCTGTAGGCGAGAGAGGGAACCTGGGAAGGGAATCCCTAGCAGCCACCATCACAGTTTTACTTAAACCAGGGAAGGACCCATTACAGTGTGGCAGTTACCGCCCGATCTCACTGTTAAATGTAGACGCCAAACTATTCACGAAGGTTCTAGCAACCAGACTTAAACATCTCCTTCCTGATTTAAAACACGCGGACCAGATGGGATTCATTCCAGGTCGAGAAGCTAGAGACAGCACCCTAACACTCTTCTCTCCAGCACCAGGCGAGGAAATTGGGGACCTGGTTACTACTTCTATCAACCGATGCGGAAAAGGCATTTGACCGGGTCAGCTGGACATACATGTTGGCGACACTGAGACGGCTGGGCTGCAGTCAGAGACTCCTTACGTGGATATCTGACCTGTATAGCAGACCGCGCGCAACCGTGAGGATTAATGGGGCCATGACCGCTGATTTCGCGATCAGCAACGGAACCCAACAGGGATGCCCACTCTCACCGTTGCTATTCACGCTGACCCTGGAGCCACTGTTACAGGCAATACGCCAAAATCCGGACATACAGGGATATGACTGGCAGGCAGAGCAACATAAAGTGGCTGCATACGCGGACGACCTCCTTTTCTTTGTCCGCAACCCCAGAATCACACTGCCGTGTCTCCTTTCAGAATTTGATAGATTCGGACAGATATCCGAATTCAAGCGTAACATCTCGAAATGTGAGGTCTTGAACATAACACTTGAACATAACACTCCCCTCAGAGGAATTCCTGTCTTTAGAATCGCAATTCGCGTTCCACTGGTGTCGCAACAAGATGAAATACCTGGGCATCTGGGTGACCACAGACCCGAAAGATATAAATCAACACAACTTTACACCCTTATTAAAGAACATCCTCACAGACCTGTCCAGATGGTCATATCTGCATGTAACATGGCACGGAAGAATTGCGGTGATTAAAATGAATATACTCCTGTGGATCCTATATCTCATGCAGACTATACCTCTTGCAATACCGGCGACTTTCTTCTCCGTTCTGAAAACAGCGGTGATTAGATTTATATGGTGAGGAGGACGATCTAAGATTCAACACGACATCAAATGCTGACCTAGAATTTACGGAGGGCTAGCGTTACCTTATTTTAAGAAATATCATCAAGCCACGATCATGCAACGTATACTGGACTGGCACTTGGCAAAAATGACTAAACAATGGGTGGAGCTTGACAGAGGCCTTATTGGACCAACAATGGAGGCAAAGATCTGGTAAAGACCTGGAAGACAAATAACTCATAATGACAATGAGGGGATGGTCCTACAGACTTTACATAGTTGGAAGACACTGAGGACACAAGACCACATATCCCCCATACCCAGTCCAATGATGCCGATCACGCATAAGGAAGCCATAGGGGGAGGGCTCCCTTCCGGAGCAGGGCCCATCCCGAGTACTGGTGCATACATACCCATACATAAGGCCCTCGAGGATGGGAGACTGTGGGATCTTCCCTCGTTATTAGTAGACAGGCCATGAACCCCTCTCCTCCAATTTAGATACCTACAACTGAAACATTTGTATGAATCATTACCGCACAAAGATCGATTAAATAGAGACCTTACGTGGTTTGAAGACCTGTGCGACCGAGGCACCTCACTAGAACACGCAATTTCGGCACTATATCAACATCTACTAATCAGAGGCACGCCTACGGCTACGACAGTTAAACGGCAATGGGAGGAACAACTCGGAAAATCACTCACAACCCAGCAATGGGATAAAGCGATGTTGTGGCAGCATAAGAGCTCTATGAGCTCCTATTACCAGGAAATTAATTACAAATTGCTCTCCCTATGGTATAGAACACCAACTTTACTACATCGAATATTCCCATCAATTCCCCAGGTGTGCTGGAGGTGCCAGGAAAGACGCGGCACGGTGCTACACATCTGGTGGGAGTGCAGAGATATCACCCCATATTGGGAAATGATTAGGGGCACAGTGAAGCTTATCCAGGGAGACATACCGGAGTGGAATGCGGAATTGGCATTGTTACACATCTCGACACAACCCATATCATCGTACAAGAAGGCCAAGGCCAAGATACCAGCCCACTGGAAAAAGAGTGAAGTACCTACTAGAAAAGAGTTGATTTGCAGAGTAGAAGATATTCAGGGAGCAGAAGAAGCACATGCTACCCTGACAGGACGAGGAACCAGGCATGCGGAGCTGTGGATGCCATGGTTCTTATATATCTCCCGTTACCGTCGTGATGGAGACGCACCGGGAAACACGGCAGGGGTACCGACTGACGCAAGCCTTACGGGAGGAATCACACCTCACATATCATGATTGCCCATTACCCCCTGCTCCTAACCCTTTCCTTACCCCCCCTACCAGACTACCGAGGCCTGTGTAACCGGGTTCGAGGCCAGACGGGCCGATTATGAGACAGACAAATAGCATAATAAACTAGGAGAGTAATAAGGATAAACAAAAAGAGAAACAGAAGATGGAAAATGACAAAAGACAATGATACCTGATCAGTGGCACAGAGATCCAGGACACTCTGTGGCTTGGATACCTGGCAATTAGACGGGAATATAGCAAAACATAATGAACGTATGTCAATTAGATAGACACACACCCCATCACACCCGCGCACAACAGAGACGCCCATTTTCAACAAAACATCGACACCTAACACGTAATAGCTAAGGACAAGGATTCAGGGGACAGAGGAGGTGCAGAGAAACCTAAACAACACTCGGGCTCTGCCATAGGTAAAAGTCATGGGGGGAAACTAGACCCCGAGCAATTAATATAAGCTACATAATATGTGTAAGCTTCCACTTAAGATTGAAACCTGGAGTTTCACAAAAACTAAGGTGATAAATTCAATGTTATAGCAGAAGTGAGCATATATGTACCCTAAAGTAGGGAGAGGTTAACTAGATCTACTCCCCAGAATGTTGACTTGGACCTGCGAGTCCCATTATAACATGAGCCGGCAAGCCAATGGACCTTCAAAACGTATATTTCTCTCATGGATCCCAAGTTTTCCTTGTTTATGTTATGCAAATGCTATATAAATGATTAGACCTGCGAGTCTTACTGTTTAACATACGATGAACCTACAAATAAATAAAAACAAATTTTCAAAAAAATATTATGATTATGGGTATTGGACACAAATGCATATCAATATCAAGTATACCCACTAAATGTAAAAAAAAAGATATGGGCAGAATATCACACTAAACTCGTGTACTGTACCGTGGTGCACAAAATCAAATACCGCAGTATAAACGGTCAGAGCTGATTGATATTGAACCCTCCCCCACATTCCTGATTGTTAGAACATAGGATTTTATTTAGGACATGGAGGCTTCTATTATGCTGCACTCTTTCTTTATTATCCTCAGAAACAAAGAAAAAGCATCAGAATAAAAGATAGATAACATAATTAATGCATCCTCCTAGCAACAGGAATAATCAGCATTACTTCCACAGCATTATAGGCAAAATCAACCAAATCACTTCCTTTTTCTTTGCTGCCCCCTCAGTTAAGTTAAACCTGGTCCCATGGTTCTTAACTGTGGGATCTATAGTGTTGCTTTTATAGTCGTATTGCTTGTATTTTTATTGATTATTATTGTAATTTACCATATTTTTATTCCTTCACTGTTTTGGGTTACCTTTTGTGTCTTAGCTTTAAGGGTTTTTCCCTTTACCTCCCTGGCCCTATACTATATTAGTGGGGTTTGGGGACGTCTTGGGGGGGTCTATTCCCTTTTTTGGTGCTTTTCTCACTGTATTGTTATTTAATTTTGCCCCCCTTTTTTCCAGCTGCTTCTATTCCCACATTGGACACTTGCTTATCTTACCATTCAGTTCTTAACGCATATTCTATTTCTAAACTCTTTTTCACTGTTTCCCATATGCATTTTGTGAAAAAAAGTTTTCTGTTGGGGTTTAGGATTGTTGGCTGTCAGATGGCTCTTAGCTCCCTGTGTCTCATAATCATTGTTCTGAACTCCTGTGAGTATCATTCTTTATTCCTTCATTTTCTTTTGTGGGTTAATCAATTCTGTCTTTTAGGTTTATTTCGGTGGGTTTTTTTTTGGCTACAGACAAGTTTATAATTTCTATTATTACTATACTGCATTGAGTTTACATTATCATGCAATATAACAGCGATCTGTCAATGTCTTTTGGGTCAGAAACAACCCCTTTAGGTCACCCTAGCAGTTTTCTCTAGGATCTCTGGGGGTGAGGCTGATTTTCACTTAACTTTACTGCTTTCTTTGATTCCTCCATGTCCAGGTCTATGACAAAGGGTGTGTAAGGTCCACCTCTCTATCGTGGACATTTGCTCAGGCCCCTTTTGCAGAACCAACAGCCGGCTCCGATGACTTTTCAGACAATGACTCCTCTACCCACAGGCCTTTAGAGAATGTAAAACGTAATAAGCTAAGGGATGAGTGCCCACAGTCCATGGTCCCTGATGATGTCTGCAAGAAGCCAACAGTCCATCCCAAGATTGTCTGGTTTCTGTGGAAAATGGGATGGAAGCCAAGAAAAGGCTTAGATGTTTCTCAGACGAATTGTCAGGACAAGATTCTGGACATCTTGGGCACTGCGGCCAAGATATTTCAAGTGGTCGAAGATGATCTGAGTTGGATCGTGACACTATAGATGATGTGATAGAAAGATTAATATATTTGGTGGGAAATGCCAACATCACAGTTGTCACTGAATACGGCAAGTCCATTTTGCTCAAAATTGAGCCTTATCTTGTGAATTTGCCACTCAACGAGCCAGGCGCACAAGTCAAAGGTTTCCTTTGGGGGAGGAGGGGTTATTTGTGAAGGAATTAAGCTCATTTGTCCATACCTTTACGGCATGTACTACATTCAAAGAATCATGGGAGTTGTAGTTCAGCAACATCTGGAGGTCCGGAGTTTGGACATCTCTGCTTTACGGCTTTGGATTAAGTGCAAACCAATATGGGCAAAATATTTAATTACAAAATTAATGCAGGGCACACAGAACCAGGAGCCATATGCAGAGAGGTTCTTTCAGACAGAGCCAAAGTTCTTATTTGGGTCGACCAGATTCCTTGATCAAAGGAACACGCCAACCTTCTTCCTACAATACAGTAGACTGAGTCGCTAGAGGCACACAAAGTGCACCTTCAGGACAACACCCTTATGGTAAGTGCTTACAATACCCATTCTTCCCTACTTTTAGTGGGGGACAGATTCACACATTAGGGTCTTCAAGCTGTAACAGGTTATTGCATAGATTTCATCTTGCTACTTGTACAATACTTTACCCCCTAAAGTCATTGTTTTTCCCCAACAAGATGCAGTCCTTGTTTCCAAGGAAATACAGGAGTTGATGTGCAAACAAGCCATCATTGAGAGTCCTGCCCATCATTAATCTTTTCTTGGTCCCCAAAAAAGGTGGAGCTGTATTACCAGTGAAAAATCTGAAACAGCTCAACGGTCATGTAGCTTACCATTACTGCAAGATGGAAGGTGTATATTGCCTATTTGATTTATTTAACTGTCGGATTGGATGGCCAAACTGGACCTACAGGATGCCTACCTTATGATCCCTATCTCAGATTGGCATCGAGATTACATTCAATTCACATGGCAAGTACAGAAATGGAGGTACAGGTGACTCACATTCAAACTATCATAGGCCCTATGGTGCTTAACCAAGCTCAAGAAACCTGTAGCTGCTCTGCTGAGAAGTCAGGAAGTGAGTCTTATCATTTACCTGGATGATATACTCATTCTGGCTCAGTCTGTTCACCTTCTAAAGACGCACCTGCCTTGGACATTGACCTTACTGCTAAATCTGGGTTTGGTTATTATCTTGAAAAAATCCTTCTTGGTGCCCTCACAATGCATAGAATTTCTGGGTCTCTTCACTCTTCAGACCCTTCACCTTCTTGTATCAAAATAATCAAACATCAAGAAGGAAATGTGACATGTGCTCCCAGCCACCCAACTCTCTATTAAACACTTGGCTCAGCTAAAATGCTTTCTGGAGGCCTCTATACAAGCCATATTCTAAGCCGGGCTCTTCAACAATTGCAAACCTCTCACCTCAGAGTCAGCGCATCATTTGAATATTTGGTGACTTTGGACAGAGAGGCGAAAAACTAATTTCGTTGGTGGCTCTTTAACATGAAGAATATTTGCATGGACGTGCAATATTCCGCATGATTTCAGACCTGACCATAGAGTAAGACACGAGCTTGTCTGACCTGACCATAGAGTCAGACAAGAGCTTGTCTGACTCTATGGTCAACATGTTACGGAAATGTTTCCACAGGAGGTATGCATAGAATTGACCTTTCACATTGATAGTGAGGAATTTTTTTTGTCAGGAATTTCCCCTTGCCATGGTCTTTTGTATCAATTTGCAACTCTCTGTATTTCTCCTTGTCCCCAAACCAGCTTGTGAGGAGCCCCAATGAATGGGACAAGACAATGTAAGGTTCAAGGTGACTTCCAACGTTTAATAGGCTGTGTAACAGGCTATATTCAGCAGGAAACAGGGGAGGTCTTTTAAAGCATTATCCAACTCTAATAAAATCATCTATCTTATCTTAACATCTTAACCTATAGCAAACTCGCAGGTGTATCTTCATGTTCGGGCCTTGCACAAAGCTAAGTTTCACTATAACTACGCACTTAGAATTAATATGCATACGCACTGAGAATTAAAGATATTAACTACACAGTTCTAAATTACACATTACTGTGCAGTTATGATCAAATTGAGAAACACAGCAAATAAGGTCAACAGCAGAAACACACAGGATATAACACTAACACTTGTTAGACAATGTTCTATAGCTCTTGTCTAGGGGTATATTTACTAAGCATTGTATATAGACAAAGTACATTATTTCAAATAGCTGACATGCTCCAACTTTAAACAGACTGAGCATCCAGCCATCTGTAGCTTGAGCCTTGGGTCAATATAGGCAAAGTGTATTATTCCCAACACACATCAATTGTCTTAAACTTCTGACTGTATCCTTCACAGTCTGCAGATTGTTTCTGACTCGCTCCCAATGCACGATCCTTATGAAGATGGACAACATGTCATCTGTCAGATACATAAACCATCTAGGTGGCATAAAATTGAAGTTTCTGGTGAACAAGGCATGAGATTTTTGGTACATTCCAGGCATCTTCAACACTTTGGCAGACTGGTACCCTCATCACCTCAAGGATTTTAGTGATTGGTATCTGGATTCCATGGTTTTCCAGGGAATCTGGGATCTTTGGGGTCTATTGGAGGTGGATCTTATTGCTACTCAATTAAATATCCAGCTTCCAGGCTTTTTTAGTTGAAGACCAGATCCGACTGTGGACACATAATTCCCAAGATTGCCCGGAATTATGTTTTCCCTCCTTTTGAACACATTCCCCATTGCGTTCTTCATCTACTCCACCAATCTGGCATTGTGACGATTGTGACTCCTCCATGGCCGTCCTGACCATGGTTCCCACCTTTACTGGAGATGGTAATAGATTTTCCCCATCTTTTACCATAAATCAAGGCCTCCTACGTTTCATGATGTGGCGGATTTCTAGGGACTTTTGTCTCTCACTGGAGTTTCACAGTTATTATTAATATTATTATTATTATTATTATTATGTTATTATTTATATTACGCCAACAAATTCCACAGCGCTTTACAGTGGGTGGACAAACAAACATGTAGTTGTAACTAGACTAGTTGGACACACAGGAACAGAGTGGTTGAGGGCCCTGCTCAATTAGCTTACATGCTAGAGGGAGTGGGGTAAAGTGACACAAAAGGTAAGGATAGTATTAGACTAATGACAGTTGCAAGAGACGAATCAGTCAACTCTCCTACTTCTTGAAGGTGAATGGGCTCCCTGCAAAACACAAGCTTATAGATCTGCTTAGAGCACATGGAATT